TTTAATTTCAGAAAGTGGTGAAGACAACAAAGAGCTATGGGGTGACATGGCTCCCCGAACACTCCCGAACATTTCTTAAATCACCCATAGCTCTTTGTTGTCTCCACCACTTTCTGAAACCAATAGTCCGTTAGAACCCTATCGGAATAACGTATCCAATTCATTATCCCATTAGAGTTTCTGACTACGTTTCAGGGGGCTGAGTGTAATTATCGATACCACAGGGACATTACAGTTATTTAAGCATACCTCAGGGGGTGTGTGTAATTTACCCTATTTTTTATTTTTAAATCAAGAGCGAGCAATTGCACACCCTTGTACAGGGTTGGATCCGCCGCCAACTTCGATAACGTGGGCAGATGAATATTGAGTCGATTTCACTGTGTGAGATGTATTGACTATTGAAATGAATCTCTATATAGGATAAATATATACCTATATGTATTATATGTGTGGCCATTATCAGATCACTTTTGCGGTAAGAATATTTTCATAACCAACTCTCACACGTATTGGGATAATAATAGTGCAAACTAGAATTGTAATTCATTACGACAGTTGTATGTAATTAATTTAGTGTTTTTGAGAAAATAAACACACATTTGGAGGATATACCCTAGTTTATAATTACTCTCTCCTTCCCATATTATTTGTCGTTTTGAGCTGATGCACACATATTAAGAAAACCAATAAATGTGCATGGATTATTGAAAAATCATAATAAAATGACTAAAAAACCACTTTCATTAATTGTTTCACCTAATTTTATTAATAGTAGTAAGGGCAAATATAAGAAAAACACAATAAATGCTTCATTGGAAATTCAAAGTGACAATTATTTTGAAATAAAAAAAAATTTCTAGAAAGACAAATAAAATGGGAAGGAGGGAGTATTTATTTTGTTTATATTCGTAATTTTTTTTCATTGTTTGGATAAAAATAATTTGTGAAAATTTGGGTACGTACAAGTAAAGTGTATGCGCTCCTGCTTTGATATCCCCACTTTTAAAAGTCAACTTTAGTATAGACTAAAGGGGATAATTACAGTAATAGCCCCCAAATTTACACGTTTTTCACTTTTGGTCATCCATTTACCACCATCAACAAAATACACACTAATGGTGTCACATTTTAATATATTTAGTCCTTCCGTTTGTTTGACTGTCAAGAAGTAACAGTGAACTGTTGAATTAGGGCTGAAATTGGGATTTTTCATTGAGAAAACTGAACTCAGACCCCTGCATTCTTTTAAAATATTCTAAAAACCCCTAAAATATTATTCAACCCTAATTTAACCCCAGTTTCATCATTTAATCAATTGCGACCTCGAGTTTTACCACCATCACCGCTGACCGTTGACCGCCGTTGATTTTTTTTTTTTTTAAACTTTTTCTTTCGGCATTGAATTTTTTTAATACTGTTTTTGACGTCGTTCACCAACATTGTATTCTCGGTTAACAATGTTGACTTTTTTATTTTTCTTGATTTTTTTGAACTTTTTCGAATGACTTTTTTTTTTTCTGATCAACACAATATTATTATTGTATAACACAATAATAATACTATATTAATATCTAATATTAACATTACAAACTTCTAACAAAGTTTTTATCTATAATTCTGGGGCCTAAATACAATTTTAAAAAATTCTAAAATCCATAATTTCTTCCCCATATTTTTTTTTCTATGGAACCGCCATTGCATCTCAAATTTCTTCACAAAAAATAGGGTAAATTACAAACACCCCCCTGAGGTATGGTCAAATTACCAAAACACCCCTCTTGTTTGGATAATTACAACCACCCCCTCAACTCCTCAAATTTAGTGGAATCTTCGAGATTATATGGAATATTATCATTTTTTTACCCATTTTATCCCATTCAAACTCTACATTATGAAGCAAGATGATCATAATATGTGATTTTTAACTTGTATATATCAGTTTGTGGTGCATCGCAAACTGTATTTTTACACAAAACAAGTACAAACTAGAGCACATTTCGCGGAATCTAGATGATTATGTTGAATTTGGCACCATAAGGGTGGAGATGTAAGAAAAAATCATAGTTGAGGGGGGTAGATGTAATTATCCAAACAATAGGGGGTTTTTTGTAATTTGACCATACCTCAGGGGGTGTTTGTAATTTACCCCAAAAAAATATGAGGAAGATAAATTAGGCATGTGCGGAGTAATTTCGAAATGACATAACCACTCTAATACAACCGTTTTTGGGGTTAACACCGACCGTTAATTTTTATCTTTTCTTTTTGTCTTAAATATTTTCCGTCATTGAGTGACATTGACTTTTTCCTTTTTTCTTTTATTTTGACTTCTTTTATGATATTATTTTTCTCGCCGATTATCAGCTTTGACTTTTTTTTTAAAATTATATTTTTTCCACTACTCAACAATTTAAACAAAAATCAAGAGAAAAAATGTCAACATTGTTAACCTGACATTCAACATCGGTCAACAACGGCAAAAAAAATATCAATCAGGAAAAGAGTCAACCGAGTTAAAACGAAAGTCAATGTTGGATTACCCGATTTTGAAAAATAGGGGTTTTTGGTTAAAATTGGTTAATTGATGAAATTGAGGTTAAATTATAGCTGGATAAATTTTTAGGGGTTTTTAGAATATTTTGGAAGAATACAGAGGTCTTATTGTAATTTTCTCAAAGAAAAACCCCAAATTCAACCGTTGACCGTTACTTCTTAACCGTCAAACATACGGAGGAACTAAATGTGTTAAAATGTGACAACATTAGTGTGTTTTTTGTTGACGACGGTAAATGGGGGACCAAAAGTGAAAAACGTGCAAACTTGGGGGACCAAAACTATAATTATCGCCAGACTAAAGATATGTGCACTTATATGTAGGGTTGTTCATGGGAGGATTTACCCGACAACCGACCCATTATATGTCCGACTATTCTGATCGATAATTTCCACCAATCGATTCGTTTTGGTCGGCCGATAATTTTTTTTAACCAATTCATGTATAGTTAGGTTGAGTATAGTTTCTAATATGTTTGAAAAATCGGATCACCGATATTACCCGACCAACCGACGTTTCCTTTTTTATTTTTTTATTTATTTATTTA